CCAGGGTTCGCAAAAGCAGCTCAGTCCGCTCCTCCAGGACCACGGTAGCCCTCTACTCACCTAGGGTGACGAGGCGGCTGGGTGCCCGTGGCCACCTCAGACAGACACACACCTTTGCTCCGTGCCACACTCAGCGGCGCCCCTCGGACCACGATGGTGGACTCCACCAAGCTCGGTCCCTGGTCCCGACCCCCTCCCGAATCACAGCAGCGGGTCCTTGGAGTTCCAGCTGTGAAGTCAGGGCGCCTTCCGGCTCCTAGGCAGCTAAGTTGCTCCTGCTTTTAGTGCTGCTGAAGTGCCTGGCTACTCATCACCCTGCCCCACCTTCTCAAAGCTGTGTTCGCAGCAATGTAGTAGAAACCTTTGTGACTGGATTTTTCTTTTCTTTTCTTTTTTTAAAAGAAGGTGGAAATGGGACAGGAGAACACACGTCCTCGGGTGGAGGTTTCTTCCCCATGATGAAGTTTCTGCTCTGGGAAACTCCAGGGGACCGCACCTCTGCCACACACTGTTCTCCCCGGGGCAGGTTTACCTGATGCGTCAGGAAAGCAGTTGTGCCAAACAGCAGGGCGACGCCTGGGGTAAGGGCAGGAATGAGAAGACTTTAAAACTCTGTGACACCGATTTCCTTGGAATGGTGTCTCATAAACGGTTCGATGTTTTCCATAAATTTAACATAACCAGTGAAAACTATACTAATGTGGACTTTTTTCACTATTGCTTCCTTGGGAGGCTAGGAAATGGACTGGGGAGGACGACCCACAGTCCATCTTGACACGCCCAGATGGGATTGCCTGCAAAGTTCTGGCCCAGTGGGGTTACAGTGATGAAAGACAACAACCCTGGAGGAACGCACAGCATAAGGAAAGCGCAAGGACCAGCAAGCTCTTTAATTAATAGCAACGTAGCCTGGGACAGTTGCTACCAGCAAGGATGTCTCTAAGGTTGGTACAACAGAGGTACCGGTGGTGCTGGTGCACAGCAAGGCAGCCTCTGCTTCATCTATGCAAAATGCCTGGAGCTGTGAGTAAACTCATGTAACAAAATGCTTATTTAAAATGTTGCATTTGTGTAAGTAAAAGTCTGACTTTTAAAATTAAATATATTTTACTATGTATATGTATGTGTGTTTTTGTGCCTGTATGTGCACGTGAATGGAGGGGGGCGGGGCAGAAACAACGTGGGTTTTCACAGCCAAACTTGATCCTCTACAAGAGTGGTACAGCTCTTAGCAGATTAACAACCTTGCCAGCCCCTAAAGTTTGACTTGTAATTTCTGCTGTAGCCATTCCTATAAAAAATGGTTTGCATTTTTGAGTGTTCTCTGCCCACTACCCCGGTAGGATTTGCACCACAATAATAAATTCACGAGTTACACACTGTCCTTCCCCTCATCTCCATCAACTTCAAATCCCTTACCAAATCTCAATAAAAATAAAGACATTCTTGATTCTGCTTACCTTCCAATTATATTACTGCTTAAGTATAACAAAACACCTTCAAGAAATGAGAAACGCTGTCTCCACTTTCTGCCTTATCACACTCCAGTCAGAAGTTGCCTTTATTGTGTCCCCTTGAGCTTGAACCACCCAAATGAAAGATTGCTCCTTCACAGGTATGGTGGAACATGACAATAATCCCAGCGCTTGAGAAGCTGATGCAAGAGGATCAAGAATTCCAGGCAAGCTTGGGCCTCATAACAAGTTGGGACCAGCCTGAGATACATAGTGAAGACCTGACTCAAAACACCAAAGGCTGACTATTGAAACCAAAATGGCAGTTCCTCAGAAAACTGTGAATCCATTTACCATAAAATCCAGCGATGCCACTCTTGGGCACATAACTAAAGGACACTCCATCCTACCACAGAGATACTTGCTCAGCTATGTTCATTGCAGCATTATTCATAATAGCCAGAAACTGGAAACAACCTAGATGTCCTCAACCAATGAATGAATAAAGAAAATGTGGTACATTTATACAATGCAGTATTACTCAGATGCTAAAACAAAACAAAACAAAAACATTTGCAGGCAAATGGATGGAACCAGAAAACAAAAATCACCCTGAGTGAGGTAACCCAGACCCAGAAAGACAAACATAGTATGTACTCACTCATAAGTGAATATTAGCTGTTAAAAATGATAATCAAACTATAGCCCACAGCTCCAGAGAGGTTAGGTAAAGAGGACGACTCTGTGGGAGATGCATGGATCTCCCTGGGAAGGGGCAATAGAATAGATTTTGCAGGTGTACTGGAGGCGGGTGTAGATGGGAAGGGAGGGATCAGTTGTGTGTGTGAGTGGGGGGTACCACCAATGGCTGGCCATGTAATTCAGCATAAGCAAATTCAAGCTCTGATTTCTTCCCCAAGGAGTTGGGAGAAGCTCATCTCACTCCTTAGAAGCAATGACCAGTTGATCAGTAGTTCCTTTTTGTATTCTTGTTTCCTTTGGCCTAGCCAAGAGTACTCAGAGTTTAAATTTGGGATCTATTTTCAATCTATTGCTTCCAGTAGTGCTGTCTTTCTGCTCCATAGAACTAAATCCCAGCCTGTGTTGACTATTTGAAAATTTTACCTCCAGACCAACCCACTCCCTGGAATCTCAGGCCCCTGGCAGCTGCCCAGATGGATGCCTACTGACCTCATAGTTACCATTGTCAACACTGATTCCTTGAAATGTTTTCCTGTTTCTAACTACTCTTTTCCAACTGAAGTCACCCCATGTGGGGTCTAAAACCTTATGTCAGCCTTGAACTTAATTTTTCTCCAACCCATCAGGAAGTCTTTTCTGCTTTTTCTAAACCAAAAACAGAACTCAACTACTTTCTGCCTCACTGTCCATCTCAGATCTCATCTGCCATACTGTCTTGACTTTACCCTTGCTCTGTCTTTGCTCTCTTACAGGGTATTGTCAACACAGACACCAGGGTGATCATTGTAAAACATTAGGCCACACAATCTACTCCTTTCCTTATAATTCCACTGTGACCCTATTCAGTCCAGGCAAAAGCCATGTGGTGCCCTTTAGGAGAATCTGCGGCTAGCCTACCCAAGCTGCAGTCACCACCCCCCCATGCCCAGCAGGCACTTTCTCCCTGACCCAAGCCTGACTCTATGCCCAGAGAATGTTATCAAAGAGACACCTGACCCAGAGACAACTATGTAAAAAAGACAACACAGAGGAGTCAGCAGCCTGAGCCAATAGGACCTTGGGAGGGGGTATAAAGGCAGGTCTAACTTCCTTAATAAACAAGTCTACAGCATGTTCTGCTAAGGAGTGACCCCTGGTGCCTGACTTGTTGGTGCTGCTTCTTCTCACCCTCCCCTAATGGGTGTCGGAGTAGGGTAGCCCGCAACAGTGGCCTAGAAAGACATTGCTGACCTACCCTTCTCTAACATTACCTCATGCGTCTCTCACTTAGTTCTTGACACTAAGTCCTCCTCAATATCTCTGCATTTGATTCCCGGAGACTGTGTATCTGCCAAGATTGGTGCTCCGAGAATCCAGTTCTACACGCCCCGTATGCACCTGTGGCCACGCCCAAATGGGCATACTCAGCGCCACAGGTACCTAGAGATCTCTCCCAACAGTCCATCTGTACCGAGCTCCCCAACCCTCCCCACTCCATGTATCTGTATAGCTTGGCCCTTCACTTCCTTTGCTCTTGCCTTCGTGACCACTCTGCTTAAAGTCTAAGATGAATTTCCATACCAATACGTTTTCTCTATTTTGTAATTGTAATTTGCAATCTAATTGTGTCAGTCATCTTTCCATTACTGTAACAAATACCAAAGATAATAAACTCATAAAGAGAAAAGGTATATGGCTCACAGTTTTGGAGATTTTAGGCCACAGTTGACTGGCTCCGTTGCTTTGGGTCTGTGACAAGGTAGCACATACAAGTGAAAGACCAAAACTCATTTCTAGGAAGCAAGAAGGTGGGGCTGGTCAGTGACCTCTAGCTTCCATTTTTTCTTTTTCTTTTTTCTTTTTTTAAGACCTTAAGACATGGCCTCATCATATCTCACTTGCTTGCTTAGGACTCCCTGTGTAGACCAAGCTGATCTGAACTCAAAGATCTGCTTGCCTTTGCCTCCAGAGTACTGAGGTTAAAGGTATGCACCACCACATTGGGCTTAGGGCTTTACTTCTTAAATCTTCCATCTCCTCTCAACAGTACAGTAAAACAGAGACCAAGCCTCCAACAAGAGGGCTTTTGGGTAATGCTCCAGATCTCTAGATGTAAACCATCCAAGTCATGAAATGTACTCCTAAATAACGTTAGCATCTGTATAGCCTTACTGGAATGGGAGTTCCAGACAGACAGAGATTTTTATATGCCCCATGCTATCTCACTAACAAACCTAGAATGTTCCCTGACGTAGAATTCACATGCATGAATGGATGATGGCTTTGACCCAGTGGGTATAGATGTCTCCATGTCTGAAATATGGTAATCAGTACACTTGACCTAGATAGTTATTCTGCAAGAAATATGTGTGTTAACACAATATACACAAATTGCAAATATTCATGACTAAGAAAAACATAACTGATATTTATTAAAAAGAACAATTGCTGTACCAATCACGTTTCTAAATACATGGTGGTATACAGATGTTTAGCTGTGCTACTGTGTTCACATTGTAAAGGAGAAAAGGAAGCCCAGAAAAGTCCCATTTGCCCAAGCATTCGAATTAGTAGAAGCAGAGTTTGAGTGCAGGCAGCAGAATTCTGGAGTGTTCACACCCTTAAATGCTACTGTACACCTCACCTCTTCTCTAGAATGAATATTATCAGAGGAATGTCTGCAGAGTGACTAACTCCTAATCAGTAGACAACAACTAATATTCACTGTCCTGCTGTCTCTGATGATAACTACATTCCTCAAAGGACAAGGGGTCATTTGATTCATATTTATGTGACTCACACTCTAGGGCTTGGGGGATAGAGAAAGGGGCTATCAGAAAGTACTTATTTAACATGATTTTTAGAGTCACTAAATGCAGCAGGGACTCTCTTGATGAGTCAGTGTGGTTTTCCCTCTGTTTTATATTATCAGGGCAGCCTGAAGACATCAGAGATCCACCTTGAAGGTACAAGTGGTAAACTGAATTAAATGAAATATTAAAATGAGACCTTTAATGTCTTAACACATCAAAGGGGTCACTCAATAAATAACTCCTACTAGCCATAGTATCAGATTTATTTTTAGTCATGATGTTTTATAAACATAAACTAAATGATAGAAAGACCTAAACTCTTGCCTTTTATTTTTTCATTTCTTAGGTCCCATTTTATATTGTATTTACTTATTTACTCTAAGTAACTCAGGCTGGATGTGTAACTGAGGCTGGTCTTGAACTTCCGATCCTCTCACCTCCATCTTCGGAATGTTGGGATTGCAGAACCCATTATACCCACTTTATGGGATGCTGGGGATTGAACCCAGGACCTTGTGCATGTGAGGCAAGTGCGTTACCAACTGAGATACACCCCCACCCCGCCCCAAGCTACAACCCACTTCTTGGTTCTTTAAGTAAAATTCCCTCTTTCATCACAAATCAGAGCTCAGAGTTCTGCCATTCCTAATCATCCACTTAGGGTACTGGGCTGGAAACCACACAACATTCTTTCCTTTGTTGTTTACCTCTCGGGGATCAAACTGACTATAAAACTTGTTCTTATTTGGCTGTATTTTTCAATTTTCAAGTTGAGAAATATAAAGTTTTGTCACATGTGCACACACACAACAACAACTAAAATAATTCTGACAATAAAAGAGCGGCTAAAGGTATCACCATTCCTGATTTTAAAATATTTAAAGAGCTATAGTAATGAGGACAGCATGGTATTGTCACAAGAACAGACACATTTATCAATAAAATAGAATTGAAGACCTGTCCACACACCCATGGACACCTGATTTTTAACAAAGAAGCCAAAAATATGCATTGGAGAAAAGACAGCATCTTCAACAAATGGTGCTGGGCAAACCAGCTAGCTGCATGAGAAGAATGCAAATAGATCCACTCCATCACCCTACAAAAAAATCAACTGCAAATGGATCAAAATCCTCAACTTAGATCCGATTGTACAAATCTGATAGAAAAGAAAGTAGGGGATGTGCTTAAATTCATTGACACAGAAAAGGACTTTTTGAACAGAACCATGATAGCACAGACATTAAGATCAACAATTAATAAATGGGACCTCATGAAATTGAAACTCTTCAGTATAGCAAAGGACACTGTCATTCAAGTGAAGAGGCAGCCTATAGAATGGGAAGAAAACCTTTACCAACCATGCACCTGACAGAGAGTTAGTATGTAGAAAATATAAAGAACTAAAAAACAAACTGGACATCAAAGAAACAAAGAACCCAATTTTAAAATGGGCTACATATCTAAAGAGAGACCTTTCAAGAGATGAGACACAAATGGCTGAGGAAAACTTAAAAAGTGTTCAGTATCTTTAGCCATCAGGGAAATGAAAGTTAAAACTACTTACTCCAGTCAGAATATCCAAGATCAATAAAACAGTAACAGTACATGTTGCTGAGGATGCAGAGGAGGGGCAACACTTCTTTGTTCCTTATGGGAGTGCAAACTGGCATTTCCACTATGAAAGTCAAGGTAGAAGTACCTCAAAAGCCTGAAAGTCAATTTACTACAAGATCTAGCAATACCATTCTTGGGCCTATACCAAAAGACTATCTTACTACAGAGAAACTTGTCCATCCATGTTCATTGCTGTTCTACTAATAATATCTGAAATTGGAAACAGTTTTATGTCCATCAGCTGATATATTGGTAATGAAAATGTAGTAGATTTATACAATGGGATTATTGAGGGGTTGAGAAAAATGAAATTATGAAATTTGAGGTAAATGAATGAAGCTGGAAACAACCATTCTGAGTGAAATAACATGGAACCAGCAA